AGTGCACATTGGACAAAAACTGGAGATATAAAACTAAAATACAATAAAACAGACATCCCAGGGGATTAATGTTGTCTTGATAAATCTTTCTATCTTCTTCAAATGGCCTGTGCTTATATTTCAAAGGCGTGTTAGATCCTTTTCAAACATGAAATTAATACCCCTGTTCAAAAATTGCACTTAAACTTGTAGGGGAAAAAGCCAGGAATGCATTAACTGCTCACTTGGCTCATCGCATTAAAAAACATAACTATCATATAAAAAGCCTACCTTTGTAGTTGCACTTCTTCCACTTGGCTTTGATCTTCTGAAGCTAGTCTCAAAGCCAACTCACGATCCAAACGTTCTTGTTCCAGCATCTGCTGCCGCTTGGATTCCTCTATAGCTTCCTTCTCTAACTGCTTCTGAAGAGCCTCCTAAAACATATATATTTTTTTTATCAACTTAAATGGTAATTTATTTGAAAGGTGACTGTTCTCTGGAGATCAGTCCAAATTATCATAATCAATAATCTACAACAAGCATAGGTGAATGAAAGACTTACCGCAGCCTTACGGTCCTCTTCCTCTTGTCTCTTTCTCTCTTCCTCTTCTTTCTTTCTTCTTGCTTCCATTTCAACCTTACTGCAAAGGTAAGATTAATATGCCCGTTATATTAGTGAAATCATATTTAAACACACTGTGCAACTTTTAAAATGAAAGTTTCAAAAGTTGAACAAGAAAGACAATTCAAAAATCACATTTTAGTCCATAAAACTAAAAGATGCAATTCTGAATAGCTTAATGATACAAGAGTGTGAAACACTTTTCAAATATAATTACATTCTTCTCTGTTCTTCTTCCTCCTTTCTTTTTCTTTCTTCTTCCTCTTTCTTTTTTCTTTCTCTCTCCATTTCTTCCTACAATGCAAAATTACAAAAGCAACATTTAAAATGTAATCATTGCAAAATATTCCTCTTTCTTCTCTCTTTATATCTTCATGGAACAAAATGACAAAAGCAACATTTAAACCATAATCGTTACAAAACCATACACCGTCATTTTGCTTCCATATATCCTTATAATCAAGTTCGTCTTCACGTTATCTTATCTGTAAATATAAATGTTAATTGTACAATATTTCCAACATGACTAACCTGAATTTTTCGAAGCCTTTCTTGTTCTTCTCTGTTTTTTTGTGCTTCCAATTTCTTTTTCACTGCCACTAACTGTTGATCCATGCTAGTCAGCAAGCTGTTATAGGCATTGTCTACTTCCTGTCTGCTCATGGGTGTATTCTTTGGAAAAGATTTTTTGAAAAACCAATACCAAACCATAATTTCCACAAAATTCATTAAAGAAATACTCACAATTTCAATAAAATCAGGACACATTTTGTTACTTCATTACCAGATCAGATAAGTGTCTAAATATCTATTCATTCTTTACCCCCCCCCCCCAAAAAAAAAAGAAAAAAAAAAAAAAAAAGCTACCTTGATTTTGACAATTAGTGTCTCAATGGACTTTTCCAAAGCAGCCACTTGTTTACTGGACTCATCCTTGTCTTGTTTAAGCTGGTTCACTATCTGCTTCATGTTCGGTAGTTGACCCCGCAGAGTTTTAACCTTTTTCAAGGCTTGCCATCTGAAGAACAATATAAACATATGGCTAATGAAAATATTTATAAATATACCCTCAAGTTTTTAGGATATTAAATTAAGCTTTATATTTCATAAAAATATGCACTGATATTAATTTAAAACCTAGATGAAAAGAATCAGATAAAGTAACTTTACCTTGGTCTGTATTTCTTCACACAGATCCACATGCGCACAGTCTTCTGAATTTTGATCAACATTTCACGGCGGAATTTGATCTTATTCTTCACTGAAAACATAAAACAGCAAACAGGTTCTTATTATGCTGTTAGCTTTTATAACATCAAATAAAACTATCAAACTTGCAAAACAAAAACAGCATATGTTTCTTAATACTTTAGAACTTCATATTCAACTCCCACGTTTGCACACATTAAAAAAAAATTCTTTTCTTTTTTTGCAAATCAATCTGACTGCCTATTTTATCACTAATTACTTACACTTGATAACTGACAGTGCACACCACTGGGCTTTCTTCCACCTTGAACAGATCAGCCATCTCTTGACTTTCTTCACTAACAGGGCCAGATTCTCAGGGTCGGCTTTCATCATCTGATCAAACTCTGCAAACTTTCCAGGTCTAAAGAAGACTTTGGTCAAGCCAAATTTGAAGTCATTTTCATTGAGACCCAAGGCTTTAAACAGGGCCTGAAATTATGTAATCCATGAATACGAAATGGTAAAACTCTAGTGAAACAGAAAAAAAATAAGGATTTTTTATTAAAACTAGTTAAGCTTGTGCATTTTTTCTTTCATAAAAACCACTTTAAAGCCAATTTTCCCAGAATGCATATTTTACTCGATCAAAACAACCTAATGCTTTTATTGCCAAGTTAGATATTTTTCTGTTTAAAAAAAAAACGTTCTCCATATTTAAACATGACCACAAATATTATACAAACCTTGCAGAAGAGCCTTGGATCCAGTCTGGCCAGCTCTGGTGGCAAATACTTCTTGTACATGTTGTACAGCTCTAAGAACTGGGTTCTTGAAGGGTAGCCTTGCTGCATGAGATCTAGCACAGAGTTCATACCTGCAAAACAGTCAAAGAATTCAGGACATGTAAAGTCCTTTATCCAATAAGTAATAATATAAGTTTCTTATATGGTGCCTTACATACTACCTCAAGGCACCTTACAATGGATAATATAACTAAAATCAATAATATTTCTTCAATATTTAAATCTAAAACACTCATCGGAACCATTTAAATCCAACAAATGAATATACAACTTTTAAATACAATAAGATTGGAATTCAGGAAAATTTTAGTTTACATTTTATGATATGAACATTAATTGATAACTGAAATTCAAGACCAAATTCTAAATTTGGATTAAAAGGAGACTATTGGTGACCATTTCTGGCAAATTGGACAGAACTCAAGAATCGATAGCACTCTCTTGCTATGGGCCACTGATTGCCGTGGTCAATAGAAAACCTCTCCAAGGCTTTTCAAATCCAGTTGTGTATTAAATCTAAGTTATTTCTCATACATATCGTGAAATGTTTGGTCTCAAAAAAAGAGACCAAACATTTCACGATATGTATCAAAATATATTGAAGCAATAATTATACTCAATAAATATTTTGCATCTGGGGGGTTCTTTAATTCTTGTCATGTGTGTTTATAGGAAATAAACTATTGACTCCTGCATATTCCTGAGTATATTATTGCTCACCTGAACACTGGAGCTGACTCAAGATTTGGGCCCCTTCAAACAAATGATCTACCATCTTCACATTGGGTTTGATGCAACGGATGAAATTTGTTCCCTGAAAAAAATTCCAAAAAATAACGATTGTAATTAAGTGACAGATTATCAACAAGAATAGTTATGCCTTTAAAACTACACATGCAAATACAATCATGGCATTTGTTAAATGAAATTTGGAGACAAATGGTGTTTACTTGTAGATACAATCAGAAAACTTTCAAAGTCTAACTTAGACTGCATTCCCACAGATTTAGATCGATCCATCTGGATCGACCTAACTCCCTGAGGGTTCATGCTGAATTGCTGTCAGCCGAGTGCGCACGGTAGTTAATTACCCCCTTATAGCTTTTAGTAAGTGGGACAGACATTTAAGCCGGCTAAGCTGAAAGTAATCTAGTGAGACTCCCCACGGGGACAGATCAATCTAAAATCTGTGGGAACCCAGTCTTACAGTGCTAGCCAGCTTGTCCATCAATGTCTTCAACTGTGCTCTGAACTTGCTTCCCACACTGATGAAATTCAGCTTCCCGCTGGCTATCTTCTTGGAGGTGGGGTCATCAAAGATTGTCTTCATGAGGGTGCTTTTGCTCTCCTGGACCAACACTTCCAGGGAGGTGTGGAGAGCATCATTGTTCTTCTCCAGAAATTGTACCTTAGAAAGAAAACAAAAATTAAGAATTTGATATTTTATCATTTCTTGCAATGGTGTTACTACTTTAAATTATTTATAACTGTCTACCTGACTTGTAAAACATCATAATACTTCAAATCGAACCAATTGGATGGTTGAGAAATGGATGCAATCAAAATTTACTAATAATTTTGATTGAAGAAATGTAACAGATGACTGAGAACTCACTGTGTGATAAACCACTGCTCCAGCAAAATGGCGAACCAAAAAGCCTTCATCATCACGCACATCACGGTGGCTCTTCAGTTTAGACTTTCTGGGAATCTGGTGGAAAATTGCAAAAAGAAAATACATTTCTATTTTTTACTTTGAATAGCAGCCAAATATATTTTAGAGTAAAAGTTTTTTTTCAAGGTCTGAACTTCATATAGTTTGAATCTTGCACTTTGATAAGAACTTTAAATTATCAAGAATGTCTTTAAAACAAATATTTTTTCTACTTACGGAGATCCTGTAGTGGCCTTTGTTTTTAGTATGCACTTCAGTTGTAAAGTGGTCTGGAGATGGTCTTGGGAGCTTGTGTTCTTCATCTAGCAGATCAAATATGCCCTTACTCTTCCCTTCAATCAGTTCTGAAATAGAGAATATGTTGGCTTAAATGATGACTCTCTTAAGGCTGTCAATTGTGTTAATGTAGCTGTTGTAATTATGGTAATGTACTATATAATATTATATATATATATATAATGCGTGTTCCTACCATATACATATTTCTAATGATCAAGGAGACTGGTAACCTTGAAGACTGCAACTGGATTTCAGAAATCTTACATGAAAAATCTTTTTAAAATAATAATAAAAAAACACTGGATCAATAACCTACCTATACAATCTGCATTGTCTATGTAATCTATGCGTTTCACATTAAGACCCTCTTTTGCATACAGTTGTTGTTCCTAAAGAAAACAGTATCTAAGTGGTTAGCTGTTACACTAATAATTATTAATAGATAAGCAACTAAACATTTTAAGTTAGAATTTCAAAAGGGTGCATTACTTATAAAGTGCATGAGGGTTAAAGAAATTTATTTATTAATCTAGGTTTGGCAAGTGATAATTTATATAAATTAGATAATTCTCACATTAGTTGTACACAGAAGTTCACAGGTAATAGAAGGCATTCATTCAAATGTTTTCCTACCTCTTTCAGTATTCTTTCATTAAAGAATTGCTGCAGTTTCTCATTGCAGTAGTTGATACAGAACTGTTCAAAGCTGTTCACCTGGAAATATTCTGAAAGCAAAGGAAAAATTACATCAGTACATGAATAACAACATATGAATATCATACCTAAATTGCACAATACTTAAAATTGTTCACAAGAATATACAGGAATTTAATGAAACTTTTGATTTCAAAAAGCAAATAAAAGAGATGTTAATATATTATGTCATGAGAGATGATATTGGGATTTGTATTTAATTTTTGGTTATAGATCTACTCCTTTTGCTCTCCTTCATCTCACTTTGCTTTTGACCATTCTTCAATACCCCCTCCCCCTCCAGTCAACTTAACCAAATGCCATTTCAATGTCTAAAATATTGCAACCCATATAACACAGCAAAGGAAGGGTTTCCATACCAAATCCAGCAATATCTAGCACTCCAATGTAATATGAAGATGATTTGAATGGGATAGCCTGGTTGACTCTGTTGACTATATAGTCAAACAGCTTGGAGTATACAGCTTTGGCCAAAGCATCCCTAGCACCCTGAGCCTCATACACTTTCAAGGGAACCCTGAAAAACACAGGTAAGCTTTGATACTTAAAACTTACATGAATTAACAATATCTTTTACAATGAAAAAGAACTCTTCACTTTGTCAGTCATGGGTTTTATTGTATACGTTTAAAAAGTTTTATCCTCATTAACTACACTTTATAACTTGTATAACCTGTTTGTTGTTTGCTTTTCACACTATCATATCATATCATATCATATCATATCATATCATATCATATCATATCATATCATATCATATCATATCATATCATCTATGGGACTCTTGGTAAAATACCTACTTGATGACCGTCCCCTTGACCCCACCTCTGGTGGCCTGCATCACTCTACTGACCAGAGCATCTTTCAGTTCATCTTCATCTACACCCAGCAGAGTGGCAGCTGCCTTCAAACTGCCTGCTGTGGAATCCTTTAACTTACATCCTCCTGGGAATGAAAAAAGAACAAGAACATACTACACCGAATAAGAAATATTTATTGACATGTCATATTTCTTACTCTATGCATTTCAATATATTTTCTGAACTTCTCAACCACACAAGCAAATAAGACAATCAAGCATAGGAAAATGGAGCACTTGGCAAAGAAAAAACACTTAAACAATCCATGAAATAAGGACTATGCATCTGATCATTGGTGACATTAATGCAAGGTATTTTCAATACTGCGCTGTGGTATTTCCTTGACATATAGAATTTCACAGTGCTGTAAAACTGAGACAGGTAGTGCCACATAAAGCATATAACACTGCTGCTACCAATTAGCCACCAGATTATTTGACAACGCCCGTGAAAGAGAAAAATAAGGAGCATAACAAAAGTGATGTATGAAATTGCCGCAAAAATACACACATCAATATGATACTTGCTGCAGGGTTCAAATTAGACCACAGATGTGGCAATTCATATAACCAGGTTTGAAAAAACTGCCACATACATTTTCTTTTCAGGTCCAAAACAACATGCAATAGATAATCAATATGTTCAAGAATGAATGTATGTTCAAAGATGTTGCACTCAAACCACTTACATGCAAAGCACTTTGCATAACAAATTTTTAGGCTTTATATTCAATTAGCAAACAGCCCACTTTTGGCAAATTTACACTTCCATAAAACCTACATACATTTAAATATACTTAATTCAACAGCTACAATAAGCAGTCCTGTTTGATTTTGTAACCTACAAAACTGGTATCATGTGACTTTTAGGTAGGAAAATGCTGAATTTAGTCTAACCTAGGTTTTAAAACAAATACCTTATTCCCATGCATAAATTTCATAAAATTCATTTTTATGAGCCTTCAAACAAAATATTCTAGGACACAGGGCACAGAACATGAATATTTAATAACATTTTTGCACAGCACACTCATTACTCTTGCATGTCTTGATCTTAACCTTGAAACCTCATCCTGATGCCAAATCATATAACTCTAGTAGAAAGGCGACTCTTAACCTTTAATGCAAAATCTTCAAATGACATATCTTAAATGGTATCAAAAGAGAACAAAATAAAATGCCATCTGCACCCCCAGATATGGAGCATGCAACAAATGCAACACTGTCTACCATACTAGACAGACAAAATTTAGATAGTTATCATGCTGCATTCAAATCTCACCTTCTGATGCTTCTTAAAATGAAAACGTAAAAACATTAACCAATAATAGCTTTTATAGATATCAAAAGCAGTCTAAGGCAGAAACACGTTAGACTAAATGGAGATAAAATATCAAAAATTAGTGAGAAAATAAGTAAACAAGCTAAGTTATAAATCTGGAAAAAACTGACAATTAAAGCTTACTGATATAATCACTTAAAATAAAGGTTGAATAAATAAAATTCAAAACACATATTTCTGTCTACCAACAACATAAATCACACAGAACAAGATCAGTTTACATAAAAACTGAAATTTCATGAAAGGTGACATCTAAAAACAATCAATTTTTCTCTGTGACAAATCCTTTCAAACATCCAGCATTTGCCCATATGCTAATACAAGCAAAAGAAGCACCTACAAAACAAACCTTAGATGCCAATTTCAGAATTGGTATACTGGAATTTTTATCTTTCTATGCCTTCCCTTTTATATCCCCATGGAATTTGTACTAAAAAAGCAAAAATACGCTAAAAACTTGGTCGTACAAGCACAATACAATTATACCTACCCTTCATGTCCTCAGTGTTTTCTTCAAATGCAATGTTGCCCAGATGAAGGACTCCAGCCACTACTGAGTAAATGGACATCTTCTCCTCAGGGGTCATCCCCATCCCTGTCATGGCCTTGTCCAGGGCTTGGAAGTCTTTCACATCGTCCAGTTGGGGATCATGCAGACTGCCCTTGGCCAGGTACTAAATAGCAGACAAAATTTCACTATGTTTCACTAGAAATACATTAAAGCTAATGCTTACTAGAAAAAGCTCAGACAGCACAGACATCCACAAAGTCCGTGCCATTCTCATTATAATAAATCTACTTATCAATGGATAAACTCAAAAATCTAATCAATTCTTAGACCGCATTCTCAACGAATTGAGCCAGGCTTTACAAATCCTGAGACTAAAAATGGCGGACGTACATGAAAGAAAAACCGCCTAATCTTTTAATAGTCTCTCCGCCTCTCACACGCCTCCCCACACGTCGTCCCTGCGGGGTACAGTAATTAAATCTCGGCTCCGAACATGAATATCTCCGTGAATATCTCTGGTGATATTATCTCCGTAGATAGTCGATTCATTNGAGCCAGGCTTTACAAATCCTGAGAACTAAAAATGGCGGACGTACATGAAAGAAAAACCGCCTAATCTTTTAATAGTCTCTCCGCCTCTCACACTCCTCACCACATGTCGTCCCTGCGGGGTACAGTCATTAAATCTTGGCTCCGTTCGCCATGCGAAAGCTACCTTGGAAATATTAAGTGCGCATGCTCATTGGTCTTGGGTCAGCTGATCAGCTAGTTCCCCTTCATCCAAACAGTTCGATCAGGCGTAGGGAACAAGGCAAACATCAGCATCAGAACGAACTGCGCCCTCTGACGAGACTGCGAACGCAAAAATTCTGCCCTCCTCCGTCTACTGGGGCTGGGTATCTCCGTGAATATTTCTGTGAATATCTCTGGTGACATTATCTTCGTAGATAGCCGATTCATTGCTGCTCTACGGGCCAATTCATTTCGTTTTCATCTCTGTTTTGAAAGATAATAGAACAGAAGAGCTTTTTTCCTTCGATCGCCTCAAGCTGCCATGCTTTCTTCACTTCGAGTTTAATTGATGAGCATGCGCACTTAATATTTCTCAGGTAGCTTCTGCATGGCAAACGGAGCCGAGATTTAATGACTGTACCCTGCAGGGGATGTGTGGGGAGGCCTATGAGAGGCGGAGAGACTATTTAAAAGATTAGGCGGTTTTTCTTTCATGTACGTCCGCCATATTTAGTTCCAGGATTTGTAAAGCCTGGCTCAACCAGTTGTGAATGCGATCTAACACTTATTTGAGGGGTGATAATGCTTCAATAACATCATTAAGTGATTTTATTAAAGCAGTGAAGCTTCTTAGAAGAGCTCATACCTTTACAATTGATACAAATTCAAAATCTAAAAACGTGTCTACTATATCCATGGTCTCTTCCACCCCCTCCATGCAACTACTTTGTACAAAATCTGCTCTTTTTCTATACAGCAGTACAGAGCAAACACATTAACAAAAGCTAGACCAAGTTACCTTCACCATTAAAATAGCATAATAGTGATAAAACATATATGTACCTAGTCTCAGCATCTCACGCTCTTCCTCTGATACAAACACAGTCAAACATTTGCTTAGTGCAATGCGGATTGCCCTGGCTTGGCTCCTGTGCCCTCCCAATATCGCCTCAGCTTCAACATCAGTTGTGGTTAGTTTTTTGGTAACATCCAATGGAGACAGTAGCTGCTCCCTGAAAAGAAGCGACAAACAAACATGAATGTTACTGTTTAAAACTGTATCAAGCTACTCATTTTTGTTAGGATGGAAAATATGTAACAGTGTTTAGTATTGCTATCACCTTTTAACCAGTTTACTTTGCACCAGAAAAAAATGTTTTCCACATAAAAATAAGGACTAACAGAGAGCAAAGCAGCATTTCAAACATGGGTAGAGCCCAGAGTATAACCATATCTTAACTCCGTATACATGCCTGTCTAATGCCTTAGGAAAATATGCAACCATAGGCTTCCCATTGACTGTGACCTCCCCTGTTCCTTTCACAAATAATTTCACACGTGCTAAGGATGTTTTCTTTTTACCTAAACAAAGTTCAAGATACTCATTATTTGACATGAAATTTAAGTCAGCATACTAGTTGTTGTATTTCTATGTGTACCTATCAAAGGTGGACATTTCAAGCCACTCGACAACTTGGATTAACAGGAGAAATGATTGAAAAACATTGTGTAAAAACTTATGACAAATGAATTCTTCAAAATTTAGCATGTGTGAAAAAACACAAGTACAAATGTTAAATAGATTTAATACATGTTGGTGCTTTCAAAAAAAAAAAAATCAAGTTCTAAAATAAATGAAAACTTGAAGATACACTTATTTCATTATATTATAGCAATTTGCATCTGTTTTATTACCATTACAACATCAAATTGAAATTAAAATGTCTATTTGTATTAATATTGACTAATAACACCCTCCACATTTTAAAATATTAATAAAATGTTTCCAACCTCAAAAATCTACCATTACCTTCTGCTACAGAATACTGCCTTCCTTTCTCATCCACATGAATCTAACAAACAAAATAATATCCATATATATGTATATGCTAAATATTCTGGCCATGGCATTCACTGGCAGATTATTTAGGCTTTGTTAAGTTAAATCCCCCTATCTATCATTCCTACTAATTACCTGTAAATCAGAATAATTGATCACAGCCGGATGCTTACATGGATAATGCAGCGGAAAGAACTGGGGGTAGTTAAAATGTCACTAATTATCTGTCAATTTTGTCAACACTTACCTTTGGTTCTTTTTTGTCTTTTGGAGGTCGGGTTCTATCAAAAAATCTCCTGAACTGGTTAATCCAGTCACGGTGGATGTATGAATAGGGCTGCACTACAGTTTTTTGCAGCAGCAAAACAAATCTTAAGTACTGAAATGGATTAGTAAATAACTACAATGACTTCTGAACACAATCATTATCCCTGATCTATGCTTCTAACTCCAAATTAGGAGTGCCCACTGACAAATGTGATTTGACATGAAAATACACATTTTTCTCTTTAAAAAAATGGAATCTGGGAAACTAGTATTCAAAGCTACAAGTGAAACATATCAACAAAATAATTGGGGCAGACTCACAAGTTAAGGTCTGCACCTGTTACATGAGCAAAAATGAAACATTATATTTTTTTTTCTTTTTTCAGTATTCACTATAGTATATAAATACATGTGTAAAACATACATCTTGGGTTGAGATATGCCCACATTTCTTCTGAAAAGTTTTTAATGTCATGGGTCTACCTCCATCAGCCCAACTAAAAATAACAATGAAAAATTACAACCATGAAAAATTAAGTTGTTAAATTATTACTTATACCATCCACATTTGGAAAATATTTCTGTATTATTCATGTTAAAAGCTACAGGAAACACATTTTCAAGTTTAAGTGTAAAATTTATTTCATTAAGTGCACATAAAACAAAATATGATATACATACGACATCATTGCCTCACTACTGGGTTTACTAATTCCTTGTGATACCATGAACTCTTCATATCTTTGAATGTGTTCCAGTTTAAGAGCAATAGCCTGCAAAAAAAAAATCTCAAATAGGAAAAAAGAAATCATGGTCTAGACCAATCATTAATGTCTTAAAAAGTGCACATTTATGCTTTTATCTAAATCAAAGCAATAAGTATGTCAATACTAAATTTTAAAAGCAAAAGTAAATCAATTCAGAGGGATAGGAGTGACATCCCCCCCCCCACACCACCACCACCGCTCACATATTCTTTTTGAATACATTGACCTTTGGAGGATTTGTATACTATATTACTTCACAGAACCAAACCAGCAGGCAATAAATTGAACACACAGAATAAAGTGACTGAAATTTTAAAACACATGCATAATACTTAAATCCATAATCAAACTTACATTCATTACTTCATAATATCTTGGCTTCGATGTGTAAAACAGATAATGGCTAGGTCTTCCATCTGTACGTACACTTGATCCTGGAAAAAATATTTAAAGAATTTTAATTCCAAAGTCTATGTTGAATTCCAGCAAAATATTAGGAAACTATTTATCTTCGACTCTGATGTAAACTTGCCGAGAAGCAAAATGCTTATGCAGAAAAAATATCTTAGCAACATATGTGCACAGAGAAAAAATGGCCACCACCATAAATTTCACCTTTTAATTTACAAATGAAGCCCACATGCATACTTACTAATAGGTTTCAGGAATGGTTTCTGAAACATACAGAAAACAAACAAATCAAGACTTTACAATATTTAATTGAGGCTAACGTCAGCTTTTTTATTTTGTTACTTCACACCTTTATTTATATAACTGTGTAATATACAACAGACAGCAAATATAATAAATCAAGTTACATTCTATGACTCACCCTGAACATTGGTCTTGCTTTAGGCTCAAATAAACCTGATGGGAAGAGGTTTTTTAAGCTACGCTGAAAGGGAATGGAAATTATCAGGCTTAATAATTTTTGAAGAAGTGAAGCTAAAAAAAATTTAAATAACAATAATTATAATAAGTTTCTACTTCAAGAATCAATTATAAATATTGCATTAATTTCCTGTCTTTATATTCAAAGATGTTCATTAAGAAGGCACACAACAGTATAAAAAACTTCATTCTATACATTTCTATTTAATGTAGACATCTGTTTCAAGCCTATGATGTTCTGTAAATGCCCCCTGGCTTTCTTGTACTGAGCTAGCTGATGTGCATATTTTATCTCTGCAAAAGAAAAATATTATAATGAATATTATATCTAACATTTAATTAATTAAATAATAATAATAACATATATGACATATTTAGTCAAGAAAAGATCTACTGAAAATACTTACAATTCTGTGAATAAACTATGAAAATGTACTATGTTTATTAACTGCCACATGTGTAAATGCTTGGTAACAGAGATGTATGTGTGTGTGTGTGTGTGTGTGTG